GTTCAGAGAACTTATATAGTTGGTAGGATGGGAGGAAAAAAGTTACAAATTGATTAACGGGTAAATGCAGTGCCAGCTTTCCCGGGGGAATGTGACTACCCACACGTAGGTATGTGTGGGGGTCTGTTAGCCCCAATCCTTATCTTGCTCCAGAACCCATTTTTTCACCTTGTTGTAAAACAAATACATGACAGCAAGCAGTTAATTAAAATTGGGGCACTTTCCACAGTTATTTATAGGCTCTTTCTGTAAGCATCAGGGACTCCCTCCTAAAACAGATAGTGGCCAGAGGTAGACAATTAACCAAAGTTGTTTTATGGGCTCTTTCTGTGGATACCAGTGACCCTCTCCCACATTCAGGCCTTGGGATGAAAGCGCATTTTCAAGGCTTTCTTTCCCAGATAGTGGAAATGTTACATAGAATTTCAAGGACTTCCCTTCTTTCTTGCTAATATAGTATTTCTTGTGATGTTGGAACACCTGGTGATATTATCAGAACAGGCTCAGGACTGCTGAGTTAGCATGTGAGGCTTGTCTCTTTCCTCCTCCCTGCCTTGGTTTACTATTTATTTTACCTAATTGGTAAAAGGCGTTTCCTGGCAACCAGGGTGCTAAATTCTGCCCAGTAACAGTATTGCAGTCTCAGAGTTCTTTCTATGCTGTCTCCTGCCTCAACATGGTGCTTCATCATTCACCTGTAACAATACTGAGCTTCTTAACGATGCTTCTGTACTCATGGCCATTCTGTATTAAAATTCAGGTGTTTGCATTAAAGTTTCCTTCTTCACCACACCCCAACTTCGGGACTCCTCTTGGCATTGACTTGGAGCCAACAACTATAAATTTATAGACAGGCACATGGACCCCACACACAAACCCAGAGACCCTAAAGCCACACCCAAAGAGACCCCAGATCCGAGACCCATAGCCACATAGATTCAAACCCAGGCCACAGACCTCAGACACAGGACCCAGATCCGTAACCAAGACCCTACAGCCAGACTCCAAAGTTGGAGCTGGACAAGGAACCCTAGTTGCCAGATGCCAGACAGAAAAGTTGAACCACACTAGTCAGGGCTTATAATACTCTTAATAACATTTCTATAAATGACCTTGGATCAAATACTTAAATATACAATTCATTGCTTTTATAATAAATGGTTTTCATCTCTCAAACTAACAGTAACTGTGTGACACAGTACATTTTGCACTGTGGAAATGTTCCTGCTGGAATAGAGTTTTAGGTGCAAATTGGACACTTTGGGTGGTCAACGGGCTATTCGGATAAGGAAGGTAGCGTGGGCAACTGGATTTAATGAGGATGTGCAGACTTTTGTTGAGTCATTTTTAAATGCATACATATATAACCAACTACTTCTCACTATTCTTTTATCTACAAAAAATATTTTTTTATTTTTTTAAAGATTTTATTTATTTATTTTTAGAGAGAGAATGGAGGGAGGGAGGGAGGGGGAGAGAGGGGGAGAGAGAGAGAGAGAGAGAGAGAGAAACATCAATGTGCGGTTGCTGGGGGTTATGGCCTGCAACCCAGGAATGTACCCTGGCTGGGAATCGAACCTGGGACACTTTGGTTCCCAGCCCGCGCTCAATCCACTGAACTACACCAGCCAGGGCCACAAAAAATATTTATAGATAGATTTCTTTTTGTTTGTTTGTTTGTTTGTTTGTTTGTTTGTTTGTGGGGTTGCTTTTTTGGTGGAGGATGTGGGCATAGGTTTATTTTAAGTAAAGGAGAAAACAAATGGCACAACATTCCAAATGACATGAGGGAAAAGCAAGTTTTCCCCTCCATGTTGCCCAGTGACTAGTCCCTGTGTCTCCTCTCAGCACGTCCTCTGCCTAGGTTTTTCTTTTTAACATCATTTGTTTTCCAGTATACTTTTCTCACATAATAACATTATTTGGAAGTTATTCTCTGTTGAAATCCATTACAACCACCTTACTAGGTTTTATTTCTTTAATGAAATATCATATATTCTCACCCATTTTTAATGTTCTATAATGTTTCACAGTGTGAGCAAACCATAATTTAACAAATTCTCTTCTACTGAAAACTTTAAAATTATGTCTGTTATTATATGTGTTGGATAAAATATATTAAACATACTTCATTTCATACACATGGAAACATAACTGGAGGAAATTTTTATGCTTTTCCTTTAATTTCATTTATTAATTTGAAAGAGAGAGTTGTTCCACTCATGTATTTATTCATTGGTTGCTTCTTGTATCTGCCCTGACTGGAGAACAAACTGACCACCTTGGCATACAGGCAGGACCCTGTAACCAACTGAGCTACCAGGCCAGGGCTACTAGGGGAAATTTTTGAAAAGTGGAATGTCTAGGTCACAGGGTATGAGGATGTTATTTCTGGATGGCTATTCTCAAAATGATCACTGGGGAGTCTGCACCAAAGGACCCTTCCCAGAGTCTTTCAGAGCAAGGACACTGCACCTACTTGCTCATCAGCCTCAGACATGTCAGGAGTCCTCTGGATCCCCATACAGGCCACCAAATTATGTTGACCTTAAAAATATAGCAGTCGGTTATTTTATCAGCAGATAAGGGGTTTATTCAGAAACAGTAAAAAAATCCAATTTAGGACAAGCAAGCTGTAGCAAAAATCATAGGCCAGCTCCACAAGTGAAGGAGAGGAACATTATTTTACAGGCAGAAAGGAGGAAGTTGGGAGGGGTCACTTCAAATGAAAGTGCATTGTTCAGGGTGAGTTCAGGGTGAGTTCGGGGTGAGTTCAGTGTCAGTTCAGTGTCAGTTCAGGGTCAGTTGAGGGTGGTTTCTCTCTGGCTGAGGTGTTGGGGAGTCGGTTTCTCCTGGGAGCACATGGTACATCTTCATGTTGGGGCCTGTGAGACAGACAATGTTTCCTGTAATTGACCCTGGGTGATGCTATGTGACAGCACCCCTATTGACCCCCAACTCCACTTCAGTGAGGTTTCCCTTTATGCACTTTCACAGTAATAATTACAGTTACTTGGCTCATTTCAGATCCATGGAAATCAAGTTACATTTCCGTGCTCAAAACGAGGTAAGGACCAGAAACACTCTTCCCACTTTATTCCGTGAAAGCCAGTAGCAGCGAAACTGACCCTGCTCTGTGGACCCCTGTACTCACATTTTACCTTATTTTTATGCAAAATACTTGTAGGTTTTTCCAGCATTTCTACATTTATTTATTTTTGTTTGGTTTTATCTCGTCTTCCTATTTCTGAAATGTTTTTACACCTGAGTTAAACACACCTATCAATCATAACACCACTTCCTTGAGACATGAAATTCTCCCAGTGTGTTTTCCAGTACACTTATTATTCTATTTGTTGTGTTTACATATTTGAGCCCTCTGGGACTTGTTTTGTGTCTATGAATTGCGTGCTCAAAATTCACTGACTTAAGTTTCCACAGAACGTAATGCAGTCTTGACCGCGTCCTCACTGCTTCGGCAGTTCTAGCTGAAAGTGGGTTTGAAATGAGGGTGGGGGTGGGGGGGCACGGACTGGGCTACATGTAAGTTGGGGATCCCGACCACAGTCTGGAGGAACAAAGACACTTTGTCAGGCGGCAGGAGGGCCACATCCACCCTGAGGTGCGGCGCTGGCTCGAGACTCCCAGCTCCTGCGGGGCGGACCCCTCACCTGCTGCGGGAAAACGAGCCACCGAGCTGCAGGCTGCGTGACTGGTGCTCGGGGAGACCCGGGGTAGCCAATCCCCGCGGGGCGGGGCGGGTCTTGCGCTGGCCAGTCCCGCACCCAGGGGGCTCCGCCCCTCAGCCCCGCCCTGTCAGCTTCTTCTGACCGCCCATTGGTGGGCAGGGCCCTGGGATCCCAGCACTGATTGGCGGGCTGTACCCACGATGGAGGCTCCTCCACAGGGCGGGAAGCCCAGGATACCGGAGAGGACCCTCCGCAGAGGCGGGCAGCGCGGCAGGGGCCCCGGGAGACGGACCGGTTAGCGGGGAGCCCTGCCCTGTGGAACCCTCAGCCCGAGACCTTCCAAGTCCAGCCAGAGAGACCCCAGATGCCCTCATCCCGAGGGGCCCCCAAACCCCTTCAGCACCGAGGGGCGCGTCCGCTAACCCGGAGGACCCCACGTCTCCTGACCCCCAACGCTCAGACCCCCAAACAGCCTGGAACCCCAGTTCCCCTCAGCTCGGGGCGCCCTTCCTGCAGCCCGCCCGCCCGGAAAGACCAAATCTCCCCAAACTCAGAGACCCCGAATGCCGTCGTCCTGGAAACCGACTCAGTGGAGGGGACCCGGAAGCCCCTCGTGAGACGCCCCAACCCCCCTCAGCCGCGGCGGCCTGACCCTCTCCCCGAGGGGCGCTGAGTGTCCTCCGCCCGGAAGACGCAGATCGAGTCCTGAGGGACCCCGAGCCTCTCAGCCCGAGAGACGGCGGACTGCCTGCCGGACACTGCGCCTGCGCCTCGCGCGGGCGTCTCCGGACCCCGGGGGCGCCTCCGGGCCCTTCCCGGGGAGAAGCGCGTTTCCTGCGCCGCCACAGGCCCGCCCGGCTGACGGGCCCCTCAGGCGGCGCGGAGGGAGGGGGGGGGGACAAGGGCGCCCCGCAGGCGGGTCTACGGGCAGCTCGGCCCATCCAGCCCCTCTATCCCCTTCTCTGGGCGCCCTGCCGTCGGGGAGAGAGGCCGGTACCGGGACGTGAAGAGGAACTCGGACGCGCTCACCAGCCCAGGTAGCGCGTGTGCAGGCGCTGGGCTGGCCCCGGCTCAGGGGGCTCCATCCGCCTGCAGCTCCCTCCCGCATGGACACCGATCAGGGGGAGTTTGCTCCTTCAGTCAGAGCGGGGCCGGCGCTGACTGTGCGGGGCTCACGGCAACTCGCTGCAGACTCTCCCGTCCCATCAGAGCCAGTCCCACGGGCTTCCTGGGGACTTGTTCCCTCCTCCACGCTCTCTGCTTCAGGACAGAGGTTTCGTCTCTTCCCAGGTCTCAGGGCCCCGCGACCGGCTTTCCTGTGTCACCGCCGCAGGCAGGCGGGCCACCGAGCTCCAGGAGGAGGACCCTGAGGACTCCGATGAAGAACGGGCCCCGAGGCAGCACGGTGAGCGGCGGGAGGAGCCAGCGCTGCCCTCCCGGCTCGGACCTGGTGTGGGTCGGGCGGCATCTCAGGACGTCACCAGGGAACAGGTTTGCTGGTGCAGCGAACGAGCAAGAGGCACAACAGTGTGTCGCACAGTGAGGGGCTGTTCCCGTCAACTTTCACGTGGGCAACGTAATCGTCTATATTTATAGACGCATTAGTAAGCAGTGAATGTGTAAGAACATAAAGTGAGCGAGAAATAACTAATTCAGAAGAGTCGTCATCGCAAGGGAGGGAGGCGGGTCTGGCCGGTGAGGAGGGTCCCCACACCTGGCCGCGCGGTGGCCCGCATGGAGACGGACGGGCGGGGACAGTGTTCACCTGGTGATGACGGGAGCTGGGGGAGGGCCGGGGTCGGGAGGGGTTGACCTCCGTGTGGTTTCCTGATGTCGGCCCCATGTTCTGTCCAGTATCGTGAGTGTTCAGAGGGTGGGGTCGGTCCACTTTCGTGGGTCTGGGGTTGACACACAGCTGAGGTCAAGATGTGATCTTCAACTTCACTGGAATTCTGTTTCTGGGGTCAGCACACTGTGGGTGCTGACCGGAGTCTAATGACTGAGGAAGGGCGTGGGTGGCCGGTATGTGCCCAGGGGGGGAGGATACCAGAGAAAGGAGGCCGGGTGGTCGAGGTGCCCTCAGCCGGGACAAGGCCAGTGTGAATGAAGAAAACAGGACGGAGAAAGGGTTATGTGGAAGACATGGAGTTTTGTGTGCAGTTGCTTTTATTACATTTTTGTCAGGAGAGGCCAATTTATTTTTTAATAAATGTAATACTTTATGAACAAAGGGTGAAGCATAGATGACACTTTGTCTATTTTTTTATCATTCTAATGAGATTAGTGGATGGCCCCAATAGAAGCCCAGGCCTTAATGATACCTCAGAAAACATTTTCCAATCATCCTGGGATTGTTCTTGGACTACTCTTGTGACGGAAAATAACTCACACTCGGGAAAGATGGTGAGGCACAAACTTTTATTACGTGCGGGCTCAGAGGGGTTAACTACCCAAATTCTGAGCAAAGAGCCTAAGCTGGAGTTTCCTTTAAATACTTGTTACAAGGCAAAAAGGGAGGGGGAAACAACTGCGATGCGCAAGCATACAGAAAAGGTTAGTGCTTTGGCCTTGAGGTAACTGTTGCCGTGGGAACGGCTGCGGGTCAGCTCCTACCTAAGAATAGCTACTGCTCAGCTATGTCCTGTGGCGTTAAAACAAAAGGCACTGTGAAATTCTGCAGGTGGTACAGAGAGCACTGCTTATCACAGAAGCTGCAGAGCATAGAAGCTTTTTCATGGGGTTTCTTTTCCTGCCACACTCTCATTCACAATTCTGTGTCCCTAGTAAGAATTTCCAGATTCTGGAAACATGTACCAACCAAAACACTGATTTCTCATCATCTTTCAGTCACACCTTCTTGGGTGGCCTTCAGAAGGGAGCAGAGTAAACGCCAGAAGGTGAGTATTTCCCAAATCCTGTTGACAACAAAATTTTCCTCATGGAGAGAAATGCAGGTAACAGCAGGAAAATGCAGAAAGTATCTTAGGAACTGCCACCTTCCTTTCCTGGTCTCTTCTACATACTGTCCAACATTATCATCCCTTTTTAAAGATTTTATCTGTCAATTTTCTAGAGAGAGGGGAATAGAGGGAGAAAGAAAGGGAGAGAAACATGAATAGGTTGCCTCTCACACGCCCCCAAGTGGGGACCTGGTCCCTTACCGAGGCATGTGCCCTGACTGGGAATGGAACTGGTGACCTTTCAGTCTGCAGGCCAGCACTCAGTCCACTGAGCCACACCAGCCAGGGGTCATCATCATCTTAATGGTTAACAACTACAGCAGCAATAGTAACTACCATTTGTTTCATTCTCACACTGTTTCAGACTTTAAGAATTCTATGTGAATTAACTCATTCACACAGACAACCACCTGATGAGGAAGGTACTGTAACTGTCGCCATTTACATGAGGAAAGTGAGCTTTCAGAGATATAGAAATGTTTGACTATATGTCTAAGATCACAGTATCAGTGGTTGTGCAATCTAATCCATAGTTTCTTCTCTAAACCACTTACAAACTCATTAAAACTCAGTTTTTCCCTGGCCAGTGTGAGTTGCTTGGGTGTCATCCTGCAAAGCAAAAGATCACCCGTTTGATTCCTGGTCACAGCGCATGCCTGGGTTGTGGGCCAGGTTCCCAGTGCGGGTATTTGTGAGAAGTGACTGGTCACTGAAACATCTCTCACTTCGATGTTTCTCTCCCTCTTTCTCCCTGCCTTCCCCTCTCTCAAAAAAAATAACCAAAATCTTTAAATTAAAAATTAAAACTTGCAGAGTTTTCTAAAGTTTACATTGTCTTATACATGTCATTACATCATTCATCTGACTGACGGTTTCAACCAAAGTTCTTCTCTGCTGTGCTGAAGTGAGAGATGCACTATACCCTCTGAGTAAGGAAAGCATACAATGTGCAGGCAGTTGGTACAGAGGATGGCCCCAGGTGAAGAAAAATGTAAAATCCCCGGATCATAGCCTCCCACCCTAATCAAAGAGCATCTCCCACCCGTGAGGAGCTTCAGGTTTGATGATTGAGAAACAACAAATAGTAAAATGACTTAAGGGCTTCATATAGGTTACACATTCCTCAATAGAAACTCATCTGTCTGGAACTCATTCCAAATGCCCTTTTTTATAGGGTGAGGTAACAGCTTCTCTGTCTGAGCTCTAATGAGGCCACTCTCATCCTGTTTGAAATCATTTGTTCAGCCTGCCTACCTCTGTGTTGTGAGCCTGGTCTGTACCTAAGTCTTCTCAGAGGTCTCAGGCCCAGATCAGGGCTCCTGAGAGGGACTCTGAATGTTTGCTGAATGAATGATTTCACGATTACAAAATGAACTAGAAGATGATTAATGAACGCCGAAGGTAATTTCTGTGAGACTGAAATATGGAGAGAGCTGAGGGGTACATTGATGGCAGAACATTCATGCTGTATTACATAATTCACAGACCACTTTGTTGAACATTATTTAATTGCATGTTCACTATAACATTAAAAATTGACATGATATATATGGGGACACTAAAGACAACTAGCTACTGGTACAGCCTTCAAACAATTGGTGGGAACCAGCTAATCTAAGTACAAATATTCTTTCCAAGGTATTGCAAACTTGATCACCATCTTATTTATTGTCTAGATATGTTTCTGCCATCTATTTCTGTATTCTCTTCCCCACATCCCTCACTCTCAATATTACAGAGACAGTTGAAAGAAAAGGGCTATAGGCATGGGTTCTAATCTTGGATTCATTACCCACATTGGCCCTATCCCCTCTGATATTCATACTCCCTAGGTATTTCCAAGGGTTGAAGTATTAAAGACATGCATGTAAGATAACCCTTAAAACATGCATGTATAATAACCCTTAAAACAATAAATACATGTTATCTTTTAATATGTGACTCTTACATTGAAGGCAACATCCAAGGTGCCATTAAGCAAGGAATATAGTTTGAAGGAATTGTCAGGAACAGCAAATTGGATGACTGCAAATGACTCAGAACATGCCCAGAAACCAGTGTCCCCTCCTGGAGAAGCATGTGCCTTTGAAAAGCACACTAGACAAAAATTGGGTAAGAGAAAATAATTTGGAAGCTTTAGTTCCTCTAAGTCCTATAGAAGGGCTGATAAGTATGACCTAGGTATGTGGGGTAGACTTTGGGTAGGCCTGGATTTAAGCTGGGATAAGCTGAAGATTGAAGTTACCACTGGACCTTTGGGAAAATCCTATAAATTCTCTGAGCTGCTGAATGCTAATGTGTAAAGTGAAGATAAGGAAACATCACTCATATATTGTTTGAAAACATTAAATTGAATTTAAAACAGGTGACACATGCAAGTTGTCCAATAAATCCATCTGTGATAATAGCAACCACACTTTATTGGTGTTGTATGCCCAGGCCTTTACTCTATGCCTAAAATGTAATGTGCACTCCATAAATATTTTATGAATGATTAAAGATTGGCAAGTAAAATGGGAAAGATTGGCTGGTAATGGAAAAATCTAGAAACTAAAATTGAATCAGTCATCTGTAGTTAGAGTCTTAGTCTTTTGAACCACGAGTTAATGGAATAAAATACCAGAGTACACAAAAGGGCAGGTAATCATTTGATGGGAGGAGATTGTGTTATCTGACAAAATGGGAACTAACACTCTAGACCTCACCAACCTCACTTACTTACCTGGCCTTCTCCAACTCAGAACCCAGGAAAAAGGAGATGGACATGAAGGTGTGCATCCTACAAGAATGTGTACCATTCTTGTGTACCATGTGTACCAAGAGGTCAACGAGCCCCAGGATGATGACTACCTTTGTAAGTGACCCTCACTAAGAAGCATGTTATGAGCAATAATTTCATCTAGTCCTTTGGTCCCCAAATCATTCCCTTCCTCTAGTGACCTGGAGTACAGGATTCAGTCTCAATGTTGTCAGTGCTAGACTTTCTCTGAAGCTCTTTGCATCCAGGAACATGCATTATACCTTCCCTAACTCCTGTTGCTCTCGCCTCCAGATTGTGAGAAGTGTCAGAACTTCTTCATAGACAGCTGTGCTGTGCATGGGCCCCCTACAGTTGTAAAGTCCAGCACAGTGGACAAGGGGCATCCCCACCACTCAGCCCTCACTCTGCCCCCTGGGTTGAGAATCGGGCCGTCAAGCATCCCTGAGGCTGGGCTTGGAGTGTGGAATGAGGCAGCTGACTTGCCAGTGGGTCTGCACTTTGGCCCTTATGAAGGGCACATCACAGAAGATGAAGAGGCAGCCAAGAGCAGATACTCCTGGCTGGTGAGAACTGTTTACCTCTTCCACTGTCCTCTGGCTTCCCACATTCCTTCTGAGGCCTACAGGGACCTCACCTCTTATGTGCTAGACATGGAGGGGACAATATGGTTAGCTCTGTGTGCTGACTGGACTTCACATGAACACAGAGCTCCTGTTTAAGGATCAGACGGTGAGCAGGAGCAAAGAGGTGCAGACACAAGAGAGTGTCTCCTCCCTTGTGGGGCTCCCACTCTGATTGGACAGGTAGACTCGGATGTGTAGATGATGAGTAAGAAAAATATCATGTGGTCACAACTGGCAGTTGAATCCCCATGCACTCTGAAGAGCTTTGATGACAGTAGAGTAAAATAATTCTTCTCACTATTACCTCCTCACCAAAAAATAAAAGGTCTTTAAATTCTTTTCTGAAACACAGATCACCAAAGGGAGAAACTGCTATGAGTATGTGGATGGGAAGGACAGATCCTGGGCCAACTGGATGAGGTGAGGTCAGCAGGTCTCTGGGGCCAGAGGGGACTCTCATCCCCCACAAGCCCATATATCTTTCCCTCTCGTCATGCCTCCGTCAGTGGTCTCCCTTCATCCTTATTTTCTCTCTTTCTTCATACACTGTTCTTTCATTTCAGGGGACATTGAGGAAAAAAGTATAGCGTATGTCCTCAAAATAAAAACCTCTCTGCTAGACACAGTATGGGCACTGGAAAGGACTTGAAGAGCCTAGATTCACCAGGGACACTGGATTACAGTTTAATTTATCAAATGAACATTAATTAAGCACTTCCTATATTGCAGTTTAGGTGAAGGAATACATTACTTAAACAGATCACACAACCCATGTCCTTATGGAGGACTTCTCACAGACAGACATAAAACAATTGCTTTTAGAAGCATTTACCTATCATTTCCAAGAAGTGCACCATGTCAAGGTAGCACAACCCAACGGTGGCCTGAACCTGTGAGGGCAGCAAACGATCCCGGCCTCACTTCTAACTAGAGCTGGGCTCTGAGGCCTGCAGAAGAATGGTCATGGCTCCTTTCCTGAGAGGGGCTCTCTTTCATCAGGGATAACAGAATATGAATCAACTACTACTGTTCTGTTTTATTTTAACTAGGACCAAAAGACCTCCAATTTTCTATGGTCACCTTGGGCAGGCAAGTGAATGGTACCATAAATAAAGTGTAAGGGGGTTGGAGAAAGGCCTGTCAAGAGAAAATAGATGTGGGCTGAGTACTGGATAATTGGTGAGCTAATTTAGAAGCAGAGCCCTAGATCAAGCACCAGGTTCTGTGGTATGAGACAACTTGATTTAGAGTTTGGAGAAGCCACAGATCACTGGATATTATGGCCAATCAGGGTGGGGGTTAAGTCTAAAACTGGGTTTTAGAAAATGGTGTTAGGCAAGATTAGCACTGCAAACAGGACTTGGAGACAGGAGTTCACATGACATGCTGACAGACGCTCAGTGAATAAAGATTCCCCAGGAGCATTACTGGCAGTGGGCAACACCAGAGCCTAATGGGCCTTAAGAATCAGTGAGGAGCTGGACATGGATGTAGCAGGTAGTGGGACCTCATCACTGTGGTTTTCTTTCCCTTCCTCTGCCTCAATCCCAGGTATGTGAACTGTGCCCGGGATGATGAGGAGCAGAACCTGGTGGCCTTTCAATACCATGGGCAGATTTTCTACCGAACCTGCCGGGTCATCAGTCCGGGCTGTGAGCTGCTGGTCTGGTGCGGGGACCAGTATGGCCAGGAGCTGAGCAGCAAGTGGGGCAGCAAGTGGAAGAGACAGCTCATGTCCGGGAGAGGTGGGTACCACTGTTCTTCAAAACAGAAAGAAAAGAGAGAATTCTCCATAGAAATGTTCATGATCCAGTTCTTAAGTAGAGTAAAATCCTCTCTAAAGTCAGTAAAGTTTTTAATCAGATGCTTCAGAAGTTCACAATCCATTCATATGCCTTTGGATCTTAGGCAAAACGTTTATATTTTTTTATTTTAAAAATATTTCATACACAAAATATACAACCACTTATAGTGTTGAAAGGCTAAGAGGCAAAAAAGGAAAGTTTTCAAGCACTAATCAGCTCTCTCACGAAGGCATTTTTTCTCACACTTTAATAGCTGTTTCTTCTTAATTTTCCTCCATACTTCTAGATAAAACATTTCTTATAAGCATTTATTATTTTTTAAAGATTTTTCCCTTGCTGGTGTGGCTCAGTGGATTGAGTGCCAACCTGTGAACCCAAGGGTCACCAGTTTTATTCCCAGTTGCAGCACATGCCTGGGTTTTGTACCAGATCTCCAGTAGGGGCAGGTGACAGGCAACCACACATTGATGTTTCTCTCCCTCCCACTCCCTCCCCCCTTTTTTTTTAAAATAAATCAAATCTTTTTTTAAAGATTTGATTTATTTTTACAGAGAGTAGAAAGGAGGGAGAAAAAAATCAGTTTACAAGGGAAACATTAATCATTTGTCTATGGCACACCCCCAACTGGCCCACAACCCTGGCATGTGCCCTGACTGGGAATTGAACCTGCAACTCCTTGCCTTGCAGGCTGGCACTCAATCCACTGAGCCACACGAGCAAGGGCAGGAAGGACATTTTATTTTACTGTTTTGGAAAACAGAGAAGCAGTTCCTAGTTGGGGCCTGTGGTTTTCCTCTTTCACATGACTTAGAAAATACCTATGAAAGGGAAAGGTCAATGCAGTTCCATCCACACAGGGAGTAAAATGGCATCTGATGCTTCTTGGAAGTCCATAGTATGGACAATATTAGAAAAGACCCTTGATGTGGGCTTTCTGGATTTCTGAAGAAGATGCACTCCATGAAAATAAGAAGGAAAACAGAAGGTGAGTGGACACTTTGTGGGAGAGGGAGCTTGCACTGTCACCACAGTAAGAATGAATCATGGGGCCCAGGCATTCTTGTCAACATCTGCCCTGACCAAACCTTTCTCTTTCAGCAGAACCAAAGCCAGAGGTGCACCCATGTCCCTCCTGCTCTCTGGCCTTCTCCAGTCAGAAATTCCTCAGCCAACATATGAAACTCAATCATCCCTCTCAGAGTCTCCCGGGAACATCTGCAAGAAAACACCTCCAAGCAGAGGACCCCTGTCCAGAGGATCAGAATCAGCAGCAGCAACATACTAGTACACACAGCTGGAAGGATAAAGCTGAAGGTCAAGAGGTCAAAGAAAGGTCCAAACTTTTGCTTAAAAGGATCAGTCAGAGGAGAATCTCAAGACCCTTTTTCCAGCCTTCCAAAGAACAAATGAGGAGCTCTAGTGAGCATGAGAGAATGATGGAGGAAGAGGCCTGTAGAGACCAGAAAGACAGTCCAGAGGACACAGGCAAGTTATTTGTGAAAATAGGAATGTCAAAAATTGTAACAATAGAGCACGGAGGGTGTTGGCAAGGCTTCAGTGATGGGTCACATCTCATCAGACACCAGAGGACACACTCTGGGGAGAAGCCCTATGTTTGCAGGGAGTGTGGGCGAGGCTTTACACAGAAGTCACATCTCCTCAGACACCAGAGAACACACACTGGGGGGAAGCCCTATGTTTGCAGGGAGTGTGGGAAAGGCTTTACATGCAGGTCAGATCTTGTCAAACACCAGAGGACACACTCTGGGGAGAAGCCCTATGTTTGCAGGGAGTGTGGGCGAGGCTTTACACAGAAGTCACATCTCATCACACACCACAGGATACACTCAGGGGAGAAGCCCTATCTTTGCAGGGAGTGTGGGCGAGGCTTTACACAGAAGTCAACTCTCATCGCACACCAGAGGACACACTCAGGAGAGAAGCCCTGTGTTTGCAAGGAGTGTGGGAAAGGCTTTACATGCAAGTCAGATCTCGTCAAACACCAGAGGACATACTCTGGGGAGAAGCCCTATGTTTGCAGTGAGTGCAGGCGGGCCTTTACACGGAAGTCACATCTCATCACACACCAGAGGACACACTCAGGGGAGAAGCCCTATGTTTGCAGGGAATGTGGGCAAGGCTTTACACAGAAGTCAACTCTCATTGCACACCAGAGGACACACTCTGGGGAGAAGCCCTATGTTTGCAGGGAGTGTGGGCGAGGCTTTGCATGGAAGTCAAATCTCCTCAGACACCAGAGGGACACACTCTGGAGAAGCCCTATGTTTGCAGGTAGAGAAGTGAGTCATTAGCATTAAGTTGCATATCAACAGCCATAGGAAGTCTACAGGGGCTTACGCTCCCCAAGAGTATAATTAGTACAGAAATAACTGGTTAAACAAACCCTCCAGTTTCATGACAAGAGATGAGATGGACAACAGTGATATGGGAATGTGAGCACCAATCTCATTCTCCCCATCACTGAAAGCAGAGGTTTCCTGAAGAGCCACAAAAACTCATACTCTCAGCCACAGGAATTGAACTCCTGCAAATGTAAATCTGGAGTCAGTCTGCTTTGGTTACTGCCCAGAGAGAGGGATTTGAGACAGACTCACCTGGGAAGGGAATTCCCCAGACTCCTGGGAAGTGGAGCCTTTTTCTCCTAATCAGCTCCCTACCCTCCTCCCTTGGCTTCTCTTGGCTCTTCTAGTTTCCTACAACCTCTGGAGCCTCAGAGGTGAACTGCAGGGAGGGATGTATGCTTGTGCACAGATGTGAGCCTGTCTCAATCTGAGCACCTGGTCTTCCTCATTCCTTGCTGCCCCTTCAGGGTCAGCATTTCCTGGTGCACAGCACACAGATTCCATGTCAGTCCATAGTGGGTGTGAGTCTGAACTCTGTCTTCTCCAGCTGTGTGACCTAGGGCAAGATTCTCAACTTCTCTCTGCCTGCTTCCTAGTCTGTACAATGGAAATGAGAACTCCAGCCTTTCTGTATGACATTCAAAGTTCAGTCAACACAGACAGAATCTGGTAAGAGGATCGCTGAGATCACCAGTCCTGCTGAACAGTCTTCAGTGCCCATGTCTTCCGGGCCTTTATTTCTGGGCAACGGAAGATAAGGACAGGGTAGGAGGCTGTAGCCAAATTCACAGTTTGAACAGACCCCACTGCTTTCCCCACATAGACTCAGCTGCCCTGAGAAGGAGGCCTGAGGTGGGGCATGTACTTCCCTCCAGGTCACCACCCTCCCACTGATCTGCACACCCTCAGAGCCTCCTCAACACAGGCAGGTGCTACTGAGAATAACCTGTGAAACAAGACCCTCGCCCACCCTTTGCTGAGAACAGCACCTGCCTGCACTGCTGTGTTAGGTAGGATAGATGGTAAAGCCAAGGCAGGGAGGACGAGGAAGACATGGCTCACCCACTAACTCAGCAGTCCTGAGCCTGGCTCAATCCTGTTGCCAGATGTTCCCAGATGCCAAGAAGCCCCATGCTAACACGTTCAAATTCTAGGTATCATTTCCAGTATCTGGCAAAGAAAGGCTTTCAAACTGTATTTGTCCCAAGGCCTGGAAGATGGGAGGGGATCCACAGAACTCAAGGAAAGGACCCATGAAACAAATTTGGCTAATAGCTTTCCTCTGGCCACTGTCTGTTTTATGAGAGGGTCCCTAGTGCTTACAGAAAGAGCCCATAGATGACTCTGGGTAACTGCCTAAACGTGAAATCTTCTGTCATGGGTCTATTTTACAAGATGGCCAAATGGGGTCTGAAGTGAGGTAAGGATTCAGGCTAACAACTCCCACACATACCTGCGTTTGGGTAGTCACAGTCCCCGTGGAAGCTGACACCACTTTTACCCACCAATCAATACGTAACTTCTCCCCCACCCCAGCAACTACCGGTATGTAAGTCCTCAGGGGAAAGGACCTGGTGCTCTTGCCTTTCACTCCCATCTCAGCATCCTCTTCCATGAGAACGTATCACTAACAAACCCTGCTTGCACGCTAACACACTTGCTGATCTGTAATCCTTTTCCGAGTTGGCAAGAAGAACCGAGTTTCTCCTGTGACAGGTGCACCCAGTCTGCATATGGCATTCATGAAGCCCACAACACAGAAGCTTCTATAATGCACTCTCCTTGTTCCTGGGCCCCACAGGGCTTCATACACCACTGACACCATCTCAAAATTATTATTTACGGTATCTTTAAACTTTTGTTTGTGAAGTGTAATGAGATAGTGAACATACACAATGTTGGTCATTCCTGGACACCTATTCCCAGATATTGTCCACAATGGCCCAGGAGCACAAAATTCCCATGATCCCAATGGTGGGTGTCCAGCAAGACTCAGGGTGAGAACAGGGTAAACATCTGCATCTGCATAAGCATAAGGAAGGGTGCTAACAGCTCCCAGAGGTCACACTTTTCTTAGAACCAGAGCTGAGTTCAATATACAGAGATGGTGAACAATTAGTGAGGACCCCATCATACCCTCTCCTGCATGAGGGAGACCTAAGCATGACCCACCCTCTTCCTGCTGGAGTGGGTTCACCAAACAGGGACACCCACCCCCATGACCTGGAATGATGACCTTTCTGCCCTCGTAGTGCCAGTCTTGTGAAGAAGAGTGTCTACATAAACTATGTGGATTTCAATAATAAATATCCACTATTATGTTCTTTTATGCTTTTTAAAAGAAAGGTGTGTGTCTTTCTTGGGTTTCATTTCCCTTCCCTGTTTCTCCCCCCACCAGCACAGCCCAGAGAGAACACCATAAACTCAATATTCTGTGACTTTTCAGCATGGGCCATGGGAGAGGGGCAGAGTCCTGGTGTAATGCTGGAAGAGGGGCTGGCACTGAAATACAGTAGGGAGGGGAGCCCACAGACTGCCATGTGATGGTCACAACCACCCCACCAGGACAGACCCTGGAGTTCTCCCAGAAGGTTTCACGATCCAAGATGAATAAAGAGAGGTCTGTGCCCTCTCCCTCCCCTCCAGCAGCAAACCACATTCCTAGTGTAGCTGCCAGCCTCCAAGGTGTCCCCCAAGTCCACATGCTATCACCCCTGCCCTTGTACACTTCCTCCACACAACCAAGCTGATCTGTGTTGCAAAAATGGTGTGTGGCCCTCAAAGCTAAGTCATAAACAGGCCCTTCTGTTTCAGCCTTGCTCACATAGTTCACATGGTCTCAGACCACCTTGTGCAAGGAGCTGGGTGTTTATTTATATTACTTTAAAGCTGCTGTGCATGTGGTCTCCCATGATCTTCCTTGACTGACCACCCAGGAAGGTGTTCCCACAATGCTGATTTATTATACTGCTATTATAATGAAGATGATGAGGGGTCATGTAGCATCTTCTGCACAGTTGCATTCAAGATTCACCATGATTCAGCACTTTTCCAGAAAGCTGGAACAACAGGTCTTAGAACAGGGTCTCTGTGCTGTATCAATGCCCTTCATCTCAGCTCTGGAGCACCTCCGGAGTTTTCTCCTGACTATCTCTGTCTCAAATCCAGGCATGTGCTGTGACTGGGAGTGGAATTGGAAACCTTTTGCTTGGCAGGTGGACACCCAGCCCACTGAGCCACACCAGTCGAGACTCAAGCAACTGTGGCTCAGTGGGCTGGGTGTCCACCTGCCAAGCAAAAGGTCTCCAATTCCATGTGCCTTGACCAGGGATCAAACCTGCAAACTCATTTCAAAAAAAAACAAAACCAAAATCCTGTAGAGATATAAAAGACTTCACTTGAGCCTTCGCTGGTGTGGATCAGTGCAGTGAGCACCAGCTTGTGAACCGAATGGTCACGGCTGGATTCCCGGTCAGGGCACACGGCTGGGTTGTGGGCCAGGTTCTCAGTTTGGGGCATGTGACAGGCAACGGAGTGACATATCTCTTACACACATCAACACATTGACGTTTCTCTCCCTCTC